AGGTTCAAAGAAAATATTGTAATGTTAAAGGACGAAAAGTTTGAACTTCAAGTTATTAAACTGTATCACAGGTCTGGCTCTGACTCGACATTGTCTTTTTGGTGTATGAGTTACCCAACCTTTAGATCTGTGGTCTCAAAGCAGAAGTTGGATCAGAATGTGATAATGGTGCTCGTTAAGCAAGTAGGAGAATGTCCCTCATCCTACCCTCCTTCTATTGAGAAGTTACTCAATGAGTATAAGGACTTGTAGACTGAGCTGACGAGAATCAATGAGCGTACTATCAAGCACACAATCGAGATTGTTCCCGGAAGTAAGATTCCCAAGGGTCTCATCTATCATATGTCCCCTAGGAAACTTGAGGAATTAAAGAAACAACCGCAAGAACTAACCGAAAAAGTAAGGATTCGCCCAAGCTCATCTCCTTATGGTGCCCCTGTCTTATTCGTGCCCGAAAAGGAAGGTGAACTTAGACTTTGTATTGACTATCGAGGGTTGAATGTCGTCACTGTCAAAAATGCGGAACCACTTCCACGCATTGACGACTTGTTGGATCAGTTGCAGGGATGTCGATGCTTCAGTAAGATTAATCTCAAGTCAGGGTACCACCAAATCGAGGTGGCTCCTGAAGATTAACATAAGACAACCTTCCGAACCAGGTATGGTCACTACGAGTTCGTGGTTGTGCCTTCGGATTGACTAATGTTCCTGCTACCTTTCAAAAACCTATGAATGAACTGTTTCGTCAATGGCTGGATCAATTCTTAATTGCCTATCTCGATGATATCCTCGTGTATAGTAAAACACTGGAGGATCGCGAGAAACACCTACGAATGGTTTTTGAGAAGTTGCGCAAAGGCAGCTTCAAACTGAATCCTAAGTTTGAGTTTGCTAAGCCTGAAGTGTTATGCTAAGGCCTGAAAAGAAAAAGATAACAACAATTCGAGATTGGCCCCAACCCAAGATTGTTACTGAACTCAGATCTTTTCTAGGAATTGCTAGTTACTATAGGACGTTCGTAAAGAACTTCTCTTTGATAGCTGCTTCTATTAGAAGACTAGTGAAGAAAGAAAAACCTTGGTTGTGGGACAAAGATTGTGAGTCTTCGTTTAAGAAGTTAAAACATGCACTAACTCACCACCCCGTCTTAAAAATTGTTGACCCTTCTCTCCCTTTTATTGTTACCACTGATGCAAGTCAATATGGAATTGGGGCTGTGCTACAACAAGACAACGGTAAGGGATATAGACCTATCGAGTTTATGTCCAGAAGGCTTCCGTCTGAAAAAGGGGCCGACTCCACTTACGAAAGGGGATTGTATGCCTTGGTTGCTGCACTGGACATATGGAAACACTACGTGCTAGGGAGACACTTCACTGTCTACTCAGACTACTCTACCCCGAAGTGGATTAAAACCCAACCTAGACTTTTTGACAAGCTAGTGAGATGGTCCGCTTTCATCGACATGTTTGATTTTGAACCAAAGACAACCAAAGGAAAGTCTAATGTGGTTGCGTATGCTTTGTCCAGGCGTGCTCATTTCTTTGGAACTGTTGTCTTCTATTTTGATATTGGGAATGAACTGAAATAGCAAATTTATAAGGGTTATGCAGACGATCCTATATAGAGTCCTATTATTGGAATCCTACAAAGGAACCTTGAACTCTTTCCCGCATATCGAATGACTGATGGTCTACTCTTATTTATTGATAAGACTGAAGAAAGATTTCGTATTCCTCATAAAGAACAAATTAAAAGTCTATTTATTGGGGAATGCTATGATACTAAGGTACACTTCGATTTCAAGACGACGTATCCCCGATGTCAGAGAGCGCTTTGAATGGAAAGGGATGAAATAATATGTGCTAACCTATGTGCGGACTTGTCTTGTTTGCCAGAGGAATAAGCCTTCTCATGAGAATCCACTGTGACTATTGAGACCACTACCTATTCCAAGTGAGCCAGGTGAGTCTATCTCGATTGACTTCATGAGCCTCATTAAGAGCCGAAATGGCAACAGTCAGGTGATGGTCATTGTGGATTGATTCTCAAAGTATGCAACATTCGTTCCCTTGCCTGCTGAAGCTAGAACAAAACTAGTCATCCAAAAGTTCCTGATGCGATGGGTTTCGTAATATGGATTTCCGAAAACCATCGTTTCTGACAGGGATGTACGGTTCACTGGTTTACAATGGCAAAAGTTGTTGGAAGTCTATGACACCAGGTTGACCATGTCATTAGGTAAACACCCTGAAACGAATGGCCAAACTGAACAGATGAATTGTTTGTGCTAACAACTTTTGCACATGTATGTACGACCTGATCAAGTAGATTGGGATGAGAACTTACCAAAAATTGCAAGTGCATATAATAGTATACATACAATTACAGAAAGAACACCGAATGCACTGCATAAAGGTTGGAAGCCTCGACGTCCCATTGATGCTCTAACCCGGGACCAGATTCATAGGTTACCCCTAGGCACTCGAGAATTTGCATTTCTATACGAAGAAGACATAACGAAAGTTAAACCACCAGTACCCCAGGGGGTTTTAGGCCCCCTCTGGGGAGGCTCTGATTCAAATGCATATGGACCCGCTCAGCGCACAGATTCAGCCACCACGTTAACGTGGAGGTACTGGTGGTTGAAGGAAAATATACAAAAAGCCCAACTACAGATGATTGAACAGGCCAACAATATAGCATCTCTGAAATTTAAAGATCTGCATGTGAATGAATGACCGGGGATGTATTTGAGTGGCGTTTTCTCTTGATGTGTGTATGACCTTAAAAGGCAGAACTCAAAAATTGGGACGGCAGGAATGAGAAATAACCCGTTCGTATTGCCTCATAACCTGTCTAAGGGCCAGGCCCGACGTCGGCCCTAGGCCGCATTGAGTAGAGGCAGGGCCCCAAATGTTTGATTCAGGCGCCCTGCGCCAGACAGTTGACCAAACGTCAACTGTGCACGGCCTTCAGTCAAAGTCACCGTGGACCCAGCCCAGGCCTCCAGTCAGACACGCACACTTGTTTGTATGCAGGTACCAAGACAGCATTCGGACCAAGTGGAAGTCAGCAACTGTATGCGATCCATGCCCTTGGCTGCGAGTCAATCTAAGCCACTGTGTGTGGGAGACCTGAGGCCCGTCAACCTTGTCAAACACTACATAAGGCCCACCCTCCAGGGAGTTAACATTCAGTCTTGCTATGCTGACTTGATGCTGGCTTGACGCTGGCTGGACGCTGGACGCTGGCTGGATGCTGGCTTGACGCTCGCTGCTGGCTGACACTGTGGACGACGACGCGAGACTGCTGCTTGCTTGCTGGCACCCCTCTGCCTTGGTGCCAGCCACGCTGTCTTCGACCTTGCTGATGTGGCGCATGCCACTCTGTCATCATAGCTGACGTGGCATTGGCCACATTGTCTTCATTGCTGAGTTGGATGCGACAAGGAGGGAGATCAGAATCTGTGGATGATTGAGAGAGAGAAGGAATACTTACCTGCTGGTGATGTCAATACTGTACACTGCTGAACGTCTTCACAGGAGAACTGTGCCACGTGGCACTTTGATGTGATCAGGGCCTGTCAGGCTCGTTATTGGACACTGTTTGCTGACGTGGAGGCGAGGGGAAGCCCGGAGAAGGAGAGGGGAATGTTGGGCTACTATCTCTGTGGTCATTTATGGAAACTATCTCTTCCACCTTCTAATCTGTCTAATCCCCCCTCTTCTCTCTTCGTCCATTGGATACGAGACATTGTATCAGAGATCACATTCATGATTATTGGAGACAGTGTTCAGCGTTGTGTTACCTTGTATTTCCAGATCTGACAAGTATTCTACAGACTGGGTTCATTACAGAACCCTTAACAGTCTGCAGAGTCCCCTATTTGATTACACTGTAAGTGATAATCCACCTGAACCCCGGTTGTGGTTAAGCATCAACGACTGCCCCCCTGAGGTGGGCACCAACCATGGGTGATCTGCAAATGACTGACCAGCAAGCAACCCAATACATTTTGGGATTGCAACACCAATTGGGTGATCTGCAAATTGTTGGCCAGAATCCGGCACACCAGCATGAGAAATCTCTGTGGTCTGACTGCAACTAATATCCGTCTTCACATTCTCCACCGCCCGTTTCATACACCATCAGACTTCCTTGCAATCGCCCTTCAGCTTGATGCAATTCTACACCATATATTGGAGGTATCTGATTGAAAACTGATCAAGGATGTTATGAGAAAGGGGTTGATTCTTGATTGGGTGGTGCAATGTGGTAGGGGATGAAAAGGAGACACTAGCTACCATTGAGATCTTGATGCTCTGAAGACTTCACTGTGGAAAACTCGTGAATAGAATCCATGTGATGTCATCGACAGCATGGCAAAAGCTTCCATAAACAGCAACTCATGTGGAACACAGCTAAATTGAGTAGGTCTGGACTCTACGGTCTCCAGAGTCTCCCGTTGTTTAGATCCATGCTTCAGGGATTGGTGCAGTTTTCCACTGATCCATTCAATTCTATCTTTGGGCTTACAAACGGACAGAAAATCTTCATTTTCACTGGATAAAAGGTACAGGCATGTAAGTTTTGTGTGTAACCAACTGCAAATTTTTAATCGAACACTGGTGTGATTCACAGATTCACAGCATCATGTGATTCAATCAACAAAACTGCAAGATGTATGACCTGGCAGGCTGCAGAAGGAATATTTTCAAAAAGATTTCAAGACTTGTAAGCGAGCCACAATTCTTCTTGCTTTTAATCTCTCAAGAAAGGGCAAATGCTTGGTTATGCGAACTCCATCGCACTAAATTAATTATCACAATAGTCACCCGAGTGTGGTCTGCTTGTGTGTCTCTTTTTCATCCCCCAAGATGAATCTTCACATTGTTGTGTTCTGTTTGTCCGCCTCTTATTTCGTAGTTTTTCCTTTCCTTGTCCTTTCCCCTCCCTTCATACTTACGAGTTCCTGAATGTTTGTGTTGTATTTGCAGCCATCTGCTGGATGTCGTGGAAGCCACTCACATTGTGCTGCGGATGATGGAGGAGCTCATTGCTGCTGAAGGACAGCTGATGGTAATACATTTACTTAGCCTGATGAGAAACAGTTTTTGTATTCCCGTACCTGAATGCAGTTGCTTGACGCAAATATGTATCTTTCTATGGGCAACTCCGTGTTTCTTTTACATGCTTTGTTTTCCCAGGCATCCTCAGCAGCCTATGCAGTCTTCTTCTCCACAGAGCGGATGAATGCAAGAAAGACTTGCTAAGCTCAAGGAGAAGTGAAAAGGGACAGCGTGGAATAGAAGGAAGAACGCTAGAAGAAGAAGAAGAAATACACAAGTTTGAACCAATGATGTCTCCCTCTCGTCTCTCCCAATCCCATCTTCTTCATCCTCTTGCCCTCTTCCAATAACCAATCAGATATGCAATAGTAAATGAATGAATGAACAAGAACTGTGTCCAAGTAATCCCCCTTACTTTGAGCACTCAAGGAACTTCCCCTTCAACCTCACTCTTTCTCTCTCCTCTCTTGGTAGCAAACTAGAACATCCCTGCAACCAGTGGATGTTTAAAAGACAATACAACTACTAATGTGCCTCTCCTGACTCGTGCCGCCATGGCCACATACTCAGATGAAGCCCAAGATCAACAGCAGCTTACTAGATGTGGCACCAACCAAGGAAGTGGAGATGATGGTCAACCATAGCCAAAGGTAAGTCTCTTTCTCTTACATAGCTTAGCTAAAGGTACTTCTCCCTTAAATTCCATAGCCTAGGCCTACACCCTTCCATAGCTTAGCTAAAGGTACTTCTCCCTTAAATCCCATATCCTAGGCCTACACCCTTCTCCCTCTACTCCATAGTCATGAGGTCTTCCTCTTCACCCACCAGCTCCAGTGCACAGCCATAAGTCCGCCTAATCACCCTGTAGGTAGAGTAGCGGCATATCTGCCTGGCTAGTGTCCAAAAGAGAACCGGGTCACTCACTGTAAGAGTCTCTCCAGGGCCTGAATCTAACCTAAAATCTAGCTAAATTCGGCACCGGACCATCATGACCCCTTCTGGAAGCTTCTGGATCTCCCTAAGCCTACCAGACTCAGTTGGGCCGATCTGAGTTGCTGGAAAATCCCTACGGGTACATGGCAAATGTCACTTCTGTCCTGGTCCGTCCTGGCCTTTCTAAAAGTCCATCTCGTGTCCAATTTCAGTGCTACCCCTGTAGTTCTACCTCATTGTGATTAACAACTCCCGGCACACAGAAAAGGCAGCACAAGAACACAGCTCGCTCCCATGACAGCAATCATCGCACAGAGACTTGGGCCCACACCGGTAAACAGTAAGCACACTGAGAACATGGAATCTTAGCAAATCAAGCCAACAAGCAGCAATACTCGGAAAACTGCATAAATCTCGGACTGATTCTGTGCGGGTCATGGCACAGGTATATTTCTGATTTATGGTACATCTGCTGTTGCCTCCGTCCCTCGCCAAACACCCTGTCATAACGTGCAGCAGAGGAAGGGACCGCTGGCCCCCTCCCCCCCCTCCAGCTCTTCCACACAGAAACCCTTGTCATTGTGCCTCTTTATGAAAGACCGGAGGATACATGGTAGCATGTTGGCCTTTTTTTCAGTGGAATGGTGGCATTCCTTACACCAGAAACCATGTTCATGCGGTCAATGGTGGGGCACTCTTGTGTCTTGAGCAACAGGTGCATCATGTTTTCTTTCCAGCACGGTTTCTTATATGGTGCAGTGAGTAAGCTGATCTGAGTGGCACGCTCCTCTGTTCCTATATCCATTCTGAGAAGTTCTCTAGCAGTCGATCCTGGCTGTCCTGTGGAAAAGACGTCCTGAACTCTTGGCATTCGCAATTGTCAGGTGGTTATTGGGGGTTAACACTATGCATGGCTAGCAAATTGTTTGAGACAATTGCAATGTAGGTTCTAGCTCTGGTCCCTCGTCGTTACATTTCTACAGAAATACTTGTTGATCACTTGATATCAAGTCAATATCAACACTTTTCTGCTCCATGTATTCTGGCGACATGTTTCATGCAATTGCACAGTAGTTTTACTCCATCAAATTGTCGATCAATTAATGTATCACAAGTTAGTATCAACCCTCTTTTGCTCTGAACATTCTTGTTACCTATAACTTGTAAGCCAGAGCCAGAACAAACCATTGTTTATTTGTTTCTTTCTCTAGAGGGGATACCCCCTGACATTATTGTATCCACCTGATTGCATCAGAATTCAAACCCATCATCGGTTCACTAATGTGTGTACCACTCACCCTTATGGGCTGGGTAACAAGATTTTGTTTAACTTTGTGTGCTTTGGGAGTGGTTATAATGGCTTTCTTAGGATTGAAGGCATGTTGCAAAATGTTGTGCCATGGGCTTGCAGTTATAATAAACATTCTGATGTGCTTGGGTATCATCCTGGTGAACCGTTGTTGTTGCTGGTCTGCATGTTACCGAATGCAGGTAATGAAGAAGACAAGGAGAAAGCGCAAGCGAAAGGCAGCAGCTGCAAAGGAGTTGGTGGAAGGCGCAGAGAAGGGTAACAATGCTGCAGAACGACCAGGTCAAATGGATCAGCACGAGGGTGAAAGACGAAATCAGGGTGGTGATGATAAGATGGGCAAAGAGGGCAGGAATATGGATGAGAAGTTCGGAGACGAGGACATAAACAGCAGCAGAAATGAGGCTGAGAATACGAAATCGAAGGAGACTCGATTCGGCACACAGAATGACGAAGAGCAGACTGTTCTTTTGGAGGAAGAAGATGAGGTTATCGGCTTGGGCGATGACAATGAGGATTCCGACGACAACAGTATGGAGAGAGAAGCTCCCATGACAGTCAAAGAAATGCGGCTAGATCTACAGCGCTGCTTCTGCATGTTTTCAGATAATGCCATTGTCAGGAACTACTGCTGGCTTCTTGGAGACTACCTGAACAACGCGCCTGCCGTTAATCACTATATCATCCGAATGATGACAAGAATTACAGAATGCGGACTTGAAGCTGTATACTGGCAGGTGCATGATTCTTTACTCTGATTGTTTCTATATTTCTTTTGTGATCATATGGCCTGTATTGAAGCTTAAAATGGTTACATAGGCCTCAGCTATAAAGTCTTTTGCGCTCACCCGGGCACCTAGGTGTCACGCCTGGGGGCCTCTTGCGCCTGTTATACCCGGGCAAGTGAAGCAGTCCGACTTTTTTTCGCCTTTTTTTTTGGCAGTAGTGGTATTCAGCGTTCGCTGAGAGGAACAAAAATCCAGGTTTTTTATTTTATTTTATTTTTTTTTGGGGGGGGGGCGCGTTCAGAGGGCGGGGCAGCAAACACACATTGAGACTAACATCACACTTGCAAAGATGCTTGTGCAGGTATACATAATCTCTCGTTCTCTCTCTCACTGAACATTATCTGATAGTGCACAGCATTGAACTCAGCAAACTGTCCCTTGCATCAGAAGAAGGGAAGAAGAAAGAGAAGACGAAGACGAAGAAGGGAACCAATGGAAGAAGAATGTTTTTGTCTCACTGAATTCTAAAGAACAGTCAAAAGTTTCAGCAACTATCTAACTCCAGTTGATGTCCAACCCTGGAGGCACCGTTGCTGCTGCTGTCGTCACCCGCCATCCAGTCATCATCAATGATCTGTGCTTCTCCTCGCCCTTTGTTGTCTGTGCTTCTGACAAGGGGGCGCGTCACACACTGGCGCAGCTGGCAACGTCCGAGTACAGCCCCATCCCCCTTTAGTGCTGCTGCAGCAGGCTCTACTGCCTTCCTCTTCCTTCCGAATGCGATGTTGCCATGCTGTGACTCTGGAGGCAATGGTGGGAAGTCCTGTTGAGAGGGCACGTCAGGGGGCGAGGCAGAGCTGAGTGCAGGCTGCCACCTAATGTATGCCTGTGCGACCTCCGGCCTGCCTTCCAGCTAACGCATATCTTCTCCCTGCTTCCGAAGCTGTTGGTTCCGGCCATTCTCCACCTCCAGCTATTCGTCCTCTTCTTCCACCTTCTCTCCACTTGCTGCTGTTGCAGGAGCATCTCCTGTTTGTCCTCCACCTGCAGATGCACCTCGAGCCGCTTCGCCACTGCTGCTGCTGCCGCTCATGTTTGTCCCGCTTGCAGATGCATCTTCAGCCGCTTCACCGCTTGCTGGTGGTACTGGTGCTGCTCCTATTTGTCCTCCACTTGCTTCTGCTGCCCGTACTGCTCCCATGGCGTGAGGACTTGCTGTGGCTGCTGCTGCTGCCTCTCCCATGTTGCAAGCAATGGCAACACACCTTGCATCAGCAGATGCATCTCTAGCTGAGTTGCCAGTTGCTGGTGCTGCCGCTCCTGTTTGTCTTCCACTTGCAGATGCACCTCCAGCCGCTTCGCCACTTGCTGGTGGTACTGGTGCTTTTCGTGTTTGTCCTCCACTCATAGCTCGTGCTGCTGCCACTCCCATGCTGTGAGGAATTGCAGCTGCTGCTCCTTGTGGCTCTCCCATGCTGCAAGAATTTGAACACACCTTGCAGCCGCCACCTCATGCACTGCATCACAATGGTATGAACTGTTTTTTGGTAAGGGCCTGTGCCTGAGCTCTCGCAGCCTGGTCGTCGGTCTGTGCCACATGCTGGCGGCTGCTGGATGAAGCCAGTAGGAACTCTATGTCACTATCCAAGGGGCATGTCTGCTGCATCCAGGTGAGATTGTTGTCAATCTCATTGTCCTTCTTGAAGGCCTCACTGGTGTAGACTGAACTCCATCTCTTCCTCTTCCTCTTCATTGATGTCATGTTCCCTCTCCTCCTCCAGATCATCCCCTTCATTGAAGTTTAAAATGCTGGCAAGATGGCTCAATCGGTGGTGTGGTGGGATCGGTAGATGGATGGGTGGATGGACAGGAAGATGAGTGGTGTGGCGAGATGGGTGGATGGGTGGAGAGATGGGTGGATGAATGGGTGAAGTGATGGATATCAGGGTAGGTGGCTGGATGCAGGTATGGCGATGGATTGGTGCTCTCTCTCTCTCTGTGTGTATATATATATATATATATATATTTGTTGTCCTCTTCTCCCTCTCTGCCTACGGTTTACCGGGCAGTTCTATTTGACGATATATACAATATATTGTCACATCACTACAAACTAAAAGAGCGCACTTTGCGGAACAAAGAATAAAAACAAAAAACGGGCACAGTGATAACATGCAAAAATAAAAATAAAAAGAAAAACAAAAAGAAAAAGAAAAAGAAAAAACAAGGGCATATATCGATCGATCGATCGATCGATGTTGTACAAACCCTTCACCGCATACAACTCTTCATCCCACGTTTCCTGATTGAGAACAATAAGAGCACGGAGAAGTTGTGTAACAGTCTGGTTCATATCCTCATTCAAACCGTTGGCTTTGGGGTGTCGACCAGATGTCATCTTCAGTTTGATGCCGTAGACTCCCATGCTGTGAGGAATTGTAGCTGCTGCTCCTTGTGGCTCTCCCATGCTGCAAGGAATTGCAACACACCTTGCATCCGCCACCTTATGCACTGCATCACAATTAGCGAATGGAGTTTTGTGCAACCTCTTCACCGCATACAACTCGTCATCCGTCGTTTCCTGATCGGGAAAAATAAGAGAACGGAGAAGTTGTGTGACAGTGTGGTTGATCTCCTCAGCCAAACCGTTGGCTCCGGGTTGTCAATCAGATGTAATCTTCAGTTTCTCTCTCTATCTCTCTTTTAGGATCCTGGCGAATTCCGAAGTGCAAATACACAAGGAAATACAATGTCGTCCAATTGCAGAAGAAATGAAAGCACTTGAGAGGAGAAAGACACAAAGAAAGAAGAAGGAGGTGTACACCTGCAAAAGACCAATGGCAAATCCTCCTTCACTCGCCAACCAATCTCCTCCTTATCTTCCCCTCTCTTATCCAATGATAAATAATAATAATAACAATGAATGCCTGAACCAGAACCAATGTCTGAATCCCTTCTCTTACTGCCAGCACCATATGAGGTCCACCATCACCATGACCTCTGTCTTCCTCCACCTCCGACAGGTACTGGCTATGGTGGACTACTAGGGGCCCTGCCCCGAGGAAGAAGGGGACTAGGGAGGAGAGTGGTCAGAGGTACTTACCTCGCTATGGTGGGTGCTATCTTCATCTCCTTGGTAGGCGCAGGCCCCAATTGGGGTAGCGCTACATCAAAAAGGCTACAGGGCAGAGTCAGGCATGGCGGCCTGAAGTATAGAGGACATAGCTGCTTTTGTGTCGTCTTTTGAGCAGGCACTGTCCACCATACTCGAGGTGGAAGCCCTGGCAGTCCTACCAGCGCTCCAGCAGCATGACACCCAAACATGCACACCACAAATGAGGCTGAGCTCTCCAGCAGCGTGAGATATAGTGGGCAATTTGCCCCTTGGGCGATGACTTTCAGGCTGCTCGGCCTCCCAAGCAACTGTTACCTCCTCCATAGCGAACGGAAACTTCATTGCAGACCTGATATCTACGGCTACAGGTTCTAGACTCAACCTACTTGAGTGTGTGTAAGCTACCCCTTCGGCCACTTGAGTGTTTTTCCCCGCTGCAACCCTCATGGCCATAGGTAAGCACCGGCCCGGATGGGCCTCCCAAACAAACAAGTACCTTGGCAGGCCACACACACACTCAGGCCGACAGGCACTCAGACAGGCACATGGACCGGCAAGCACGCACACACACAGACTTAGAAAACTCAGCAAAAAGCGATAATCTCAGCAAGGCACACATTCCAGCAGCAAAGCTCAGAAATCAGCAGTGTTGCTCAGTTCGTGTTTTTGCAGGTCCTTACACTACCCCCCCCTCAAAAGTGAGGTCCCTTCGAACGAGGAACTCAATCTGAGTCTATGTAAAATGCATCATAAGCGAAGTTGGAAAAGAGAGGTGCTGTATGCTCCATGGGAGTGAGTTTCGCAGTAACTGTGGACTCAGCATCAGAAACTATCTTTCGTTCATATGCCTTGACGTCTCGAGGTGCGTTCTTCAATAGATCCTTTTTTGAGATCCAGTAGAGTTCATCTTGCGGGTAATACAAAAAGTGACCTTGGTACTGTCTGTTACGCCCATTCCTAGTGTGATCCGCAATTTTGTCAATCTCATGACCACCATTGATTGCACAAGGGATCATGGCTGGCTCTAATCAAAAGAATCGGAGCACATATGGATACAGTTTAGACAAGTGAAAGCCCGGATACATGCGCAGATGAGGAGGCCCGTCTATCACATATGAAGGACCAAATGACGCATCCTTCACCACCTTCAGAACCTTCCAAGGACTGTAGTAGAGAGGGAGCTTTGGTGACACCCCTTCTTCTGGAAACTCAGACATCTTTACTTAGAAGTAACTTCCCACTTCGAAAGTAGTCACAGGTCTGCACTTTTTGTTTCCAAATTTGATCATGGCATGTTGTCGCTCGTTCATTGCTGCAACAACAACTTTGAGCAAGTGATTGTACTTGGCACTATAGCCAGGCATGCCGGGCATCAGACCAGGCGGCTGATAATGGAACAAGAAGGAAAAAGGGTTGCAAATCTGCCAACCGAGGTGCAGCCTGTTAGGTGTCATTCCAGTGGCAGAGTGAATGGAGTTGTTGTATAACCCCTTTACCACATACACCTCTTTATCCCACGTTTTGATCGGAATAATAAGAGCACAGAGAAGTTGTGTAACAGTCTGGTTGATCTCCTCAGGCAAACCGTTGGCTTCAGAGTGTCGACCAGGTATCATCTTCAGTTTGATGCCTTAGATTTTGGCAATGAAGTCCTTCCAATCTGCACTTATGAAGCGAGTGTCCCGATCACACTCCTGTCCAAATACGTTCAAATTGAATACAGATATACCCTAAACCACAAACATATCATAGCAAAAAAAAACAAAAAGAAAAACAAAAATTCAGGGAAATATGGCAGTTTCGGTGAAAAATTTGCCGAAAATGACACCGCCCATCAACCACAAGTGTCATTTTCAGCGAATGTTTCACCGAAACTGCCATATTTCCCTGAATTTTTTCTTTTTTCCTGTTTTTTCTTGGGTATGATATGTATGTGGTTTAGGGTATATCTGTATTCAGATTCAACATATTTGGACCAGTAACGAAAAGTTGGCGAAAACACTGAATTCGGGAATTGTTTTGGCAAACTCCGAAAGCTACTCCGACTCGGGTTTTATAGTACTCGTGAGTTTTTTTTTTCCTTTTTTTTTTTGCCTGTTTGGTTTTCTGATGTTTGTATTATGAGCCTGCATAGTTTATTCGCAAAATTAGCGACGACATTGCGTGTAGTGATGTGGCGAAAAACCCCGAATTTTTGGTCTTCCATTAACCATCTATCATCTGTTAAGTCAATAGAAATTGACTCTCCAAGACCTTCAGGAAGAGGGGCAGGTCTCAGCAGCCCGTAGGGCTTTTGTCTAGATGGTTTGATTTGTTGACAGACTTGACACTCAACCACAAACTTGTGGGCAAATCCTTTCATTCTGGGTCAATCAAACTGTAAAGATCCGTACGTTTTCTCAAAACCGAAGTGTCCACTCTGTGCATGAGCCAAGTTCAAGAAGTGAGTGCGGAGAGGCTCATGGTTGGGTGCACACAAACGGTCATGCTTTCCATAGCATCGAAAAATCGGACCTTCCCGGTCATGAAAATCAGGCTGACTACTTAGGTCAACCTTAAGCTGGTCAAGGATAGGACTGAGGTCCGGATCCTTGGCAGTTTGCTCTATTAACTCCTCCTTCAGTCTCCTTCAGAGATCATAGGAGCTCACAAGGCAAGTCATAAACTGAGGGTGGCGAGACAAACTGAAGGCAGTTGGATTGTAACAAGCTTTTCTTATGCATCAGTTCAAAATCGTATACAACAGTGTTGCATACCCCGACGGTTGGCGGCCCTTGACTGGTCAGCTACCGACCAGCCTACCGAAAAGGGTCCAAAACCCCTAATGACCCCACCAACACCGTTGTGATGTGTGAAAACTCGCGCGAGAGAGAGACCGAGAGAGACACGAGAGAGGCGCGCACGCGCGAGTGAGAGAGAGAAAGAGAGAACAAATGGCCCCTTAACATTAATCAGAAAACCCTGCTGTGATAACCCGTCCAAACACGGACTGAAACACACAGCTGATTTCTGAGTTTTGCTCATAGACTGAATGCCCTACTGAGTTCCCCGCCTGCTAAGTCTGTGTGTGTGCGTGCTTGCTGGACTGCATGTCTGTCTGAGTGCTGGTTGGCTTGCGTGTGTGACCATGCCTGTCTGAGTGCTGGTTGGCATGAGTGTGTGTGTGTGTGGCCCGCCAGGGCACTTGTTCGTTCGTTGGGCCCTCAGGGCCAGTACTTACCTGTGGCCGTGGCTTCGAAGGGTTGCAGCAGGGAAAAAGCACTCAAGTAGCGGTTAGGCCGGTACCGCAYCCGGCAGGGGGGTAAATATGCAGGTACCGGAGGCCGAGCAGAAGAAGACAAAAGTGGCATTTTTAGAGGCCGGTAGTGTAGGCTAGGTCTAGCGGGTACCAGTCTGAGTCTAGGGCCTGTAGGGGCAATATCAGAGTYTGSAATGATGTTCCCTCCAAAAGGAGGAAGAGGTACCGGTTGCTTGGGAAGGCCAGCGGCCTGGAAGTCACCGCCCAAGAGGCAAAGCAGGCCGCTATATCTTCCGGCCGGGCGGAAGACCTGGCCTCTTTTTCGGTGTGCAAGTTTGGCAACACACTGGTGGAGTGCTGGAGGGAGCAGCGCTGGGTTGGAGCTGTGCTGCTGGGGAGGAAGAAGAAGGACTAGAGGGAGGAAGAAGGAGGAAGGAAGGAGGAAGGGGGAGGAGCGCCAGGGGTACTTACCTGGCTATGGTGGCAGCCATCTTCATCACCTTGGTGGGCGCTGCTGCAAGGAGTCCCCAGCCGGGGGAGCTACACCAAGAAGCTTCAAGGCAAGGCTGGGCATGGCGGCCTGAGCTGGAGCAGCCATAGCTGCTCTGGGTTGTCCTTTGGACGTCGGAGCAAGGCCTAGTAGTCCGCTATATCCTCGGCCTATGTGTGTGAAGAGTGGGGGGTGCAGCCATGGCTATGGTGGACCTTGAGTGATACCTGCAGTAGAAAAGGGACCAGTCATTCAAAATTGTATTATTATTTCTTGTATGAATAAGAGAAGGGGGAGATAAGGAGGAGGAGATTGTTGGGCGAAGAAGAAGAGCCTTGTCATTGTCTTTGCTGGTGTACATCTTCTTCTTCTTCTTTCCTACTCCTCTCTCTCCTCTCAAGTTCATTCATTTTTGTCTGCAATTGGATGGCATTGTACTTTCCAGTGGATGTGTATCTCGAAATTGGCCAGGGTCATAACATTG